TTAATAATCTTTCAATAATATTTCAATAGTATTTCATATAGTCTTTCAACAATCTTTCAATAGTCTTTCAATATTTTTTCAATAGTCTTTCAATAAGGTCATGGGTGGTGCATATCTTCAGGCTGACTCTCGGCGGTGGAATCCAGTTTGGGTGTTGGTGCTGTGGGTGCTCCCAGCTCAATGATGTAAATATTAGAATATAGGTCATTGGTCCAGCTCTTCTTGAAGGCGGGTCTAACGTTACCTGCCCACTTTGCAGTGATTCAATGGACCAACTCTCCTCTCACCTTTGGTTACTTTCAAACTAATGAACAAATAAAAAACACAACGTGAATGTAACTTGAAACAACGCATTATAGAAAAGTAGTCTAGTAGAAAGTACAGATACTTAATGTAAAATGTAGTGGCGTAAAAGTTGAAAGTAGCACGTTTAACTCTACTTAAGTACAGATACATGAAAAATGTAGTTAAGTAGAGCAATGAAGTACTTGTACTTGGTTACATCCCACGTTCAGAAGACAACAACATATTTCGCTCATCAGAACCGAGATGAGGAGCCGCCTCGCGGCTGCAGAACCACCTCTGAACCATCGTCTCCTCTCACAACCAACAGTTTGTCGATGCCACGAGACTTCCTGTGCAAACCAACACTCACACGTCACGCCGACGATGGACCGACTTATTTTTAAAGTTCAAAAGGAATAATAAGAGTTTTGTTCCGTCTCACTGCGAGCTCATATTGGAGGAAAGAAGTGGGTCGTTTAAAAATAAACTTTTGAGGTTTTAAAGTTGGACCTTACGTTTCCAGGAAACTCATTTAGGTCAGACGAATGTCCCCACCAGAGACAAGAAGACAAACGTCTGCACGCAGGAAGTTTTTAGATAAAGACAAAAAAACTGAAACGACACGTTTTATCTTGCGTCTCTTATTCGGCTGAGTTCAAACGTGTGATGCCGTCGATGATTTAAAACAGAACATCAGCGTGTTTAGTCCGAGAAGCACGACACGACGCGCTTGCTTTATTTTAGTAACATCTGGATTTAATTATGACACAAACAGCTGGTTCATGGAACTTAACTGTTTAAATATGTTCACATTCACATGATTTATTAAAACAAAAGGACTTGCTTGAAGAACATCGTTTAGTCTAAAAACTTTATTGATTTGTTTGTGCAAAACATTTTAACACGAGATGATTTGTTTGAATAGTTTTGCTTTTGAACAGTGAATTTTTTTAAAGTTTTTAATTTATTTTTAACAAAAAAGTTATTTTCATATTAAATCTAAAAACAAAGAAACATATTTTTGATCCATGTGAACCCTGAAACAACAACAACAACAACAACAACAACAACAACAACAACAACAAAATGTGTTGTGTTGCTTCTACATCCAGTAAATATCTAATTATTTATAAAGTAAATAAAAGGTGATTTGAAGACGGGACTTCACTCGTGTTTCTTTCTTTCACTGAGGAGGAGTTTTGAGTCCTTAGCTCCTCCCACTTGTTTATTCATCATGAGACATGACATAAACAATGAAAACAGCCTCAGGTGAAGTTTAGTCTTGCAGCTTGTGGAGACATTCGTCCAACTTTTATTTGTATATTTGGAACAATACAAAGTTTCTTTAAGTAAACACATTTGTTTATTTTTAACCAAACAAAACTTTCAGATGTCGGAGTTCCTCTACAGCCGATCAACAAGATGGCCGCCACAGCTCAACAGCTTCAGCAAACATACAAATGTGTAGAGCTCTGAAGCTGACAATGAGCTGAAATCTGCTGTGGTAGTAGCTGAGAGTCATTCTCAACACGAGCGCTAATCAGGATCCGTTTAGAATTACTGGTGTCAGCTGCATCTGTTAGCAAAATATCTGTGAGTGATCAAATGAATTTCTTCTGGAGCGAGAGGGATGAAACACCGAGCTGGAAGCTAAAAGCTAAAAGCTGGACTGAACTCTTTCTGCGGCTCGTCTGAACTGAACGAGCTGAAGAATCGAACCCCGAGCCGCACATCTTTGGCCGTCGTCCCCCGCAGGAAACATAGAAACAAAGATGGCGGCTCTTCACCTCCCTTTCCCTGAAGGAAACAAACAATGTTAAAACTTTTATTCTGTCAATAAATTACTATGTCCAGGTGTCCCTGTGATGGACTGGAGACATGTCCGGGTGCCCCTGTGATGGACTG